GGGGGGGGGAGCGGCGGCTAACTTTTTTGCATGTGAAATAAGGGGCTCGAACACTAACACTGTCCACTAGGAATGCTCTGGAAACCACTCCATGAAAGATGTGTCTTATACAAACTCCGTATTTGATACCTCCTCTTTGGCAATCCGCATGTCATCGGTGACGTCGGAAAACACCGTGGGCTCGATGAAAAACCCCTTTCGGCCAAGCCCTTTGCCGCCACACTCCAGTTTGGCACCCTCAGCTACACCACTCTGGATGAGCTCCAGGATCTTGTTATACTGCTTCTTATCAATCTACAGAAGAAATACTCAGTGATTTCAGGTAAACTCTCCTGTGAAGATAAGCATGATCTCAAGAATCTCCCTCTTAGGGTTTTTTCAAAGATGCATTCTGTCTGGTTAAATAATATGAGACTGCTGTCATCTAACCATTTCCATCCACACAAAAAATGGTAATTGTGTATGGCTCAACCAAATATATGGAGAATTCTAAGAAATGAATTTCTCTTATGAGTAAACCAAATCAGAATAACCAATGATTTGAACATTTTGTGGGGTTTTTTCATATTGGGGTTTATCGCTGCTATAGGTTTATCATTGTTAGTAGCCTTCTTGACAGGGTAAACTGACCTCCATAATCAAGTGAGGAATTTAGAAAATTGTGCCAATCATTAAAAAGATAAAAGCAATACATGAATTAACTTATATGCATTTTAGATGGTGGAACACCCTGAACACTATCAGGGTATGCCTTAAAGGGATTTCTTTAGCATTGGGATATATGTAAATTTTTTTCCTATTACACATTTAAAGAAAAATATTAAGTGCAAAAAGTGTGGACTGGCTTTCTAGGCCACAAAAAACCATATATACGCAAGTATAAGCTGACCCGAATATCAGCCAAGGCACCCGATTTTACCACAAAAACTGCATTAAAAATGTGCTGAACATGGGAGCAAAGGAAGTGGGAGGAAGACAGAGTGGAGCACATCCTGAACCACCAAGCCTTGAGGACGATAGCCCTACTCAGAGCAGCCCATGCACCGAGAGGACCACATGGCCGGCCCCATGACATCCCTCACTGACCCATAGCCCTACAGGGGACAACACTGGAGACACAGTATGGGAATTGTGCCTGATCTGATCCCACCACACTGAGACAAAACACTAAGGGGGGTACAACAGAACAGCAAGGGGAGCAGAGCAAGGAAGTCCAGAGCGAGTACCAAAAATAGACTTTGGGGCCACAAATAGACTCAGCCGCAAATATACTCAGCCGCAAAGCACTCTAGAGGTCAACAAACAGACCTTGAACTTTTTACAGGCTTTTCTTTTTTGGGTCATTGTTCTTTCTTTATTGTTGTTTTGTTGCTTTGTTTTGCTCTGCCTTGTTTTTGTGCATATTTCTATTTCTGCAGGTCTATCTAGATAAGATAGGTGGGATAAACAATCTGGAGGAGAAAACAATGGGATGACGCATTGGGGGGACATGGGAGAGAAGGAAGTGGGGAAAGGAGGTGGTGTTAACAAACTCAGGGACAAGGAAATAACAAGTGATCCAAGGCAAACGGCATTTAGAGAGGTCTAAATACAGACAAGTACATATGTAAATATATTTACATATGATGATGGGGAAACAGATCTATGTGTATGTATTTATAGGTTTAGTATTAAGGTCGCAGATGGACAGTGGGCCTCTGCTCAAGTAATCCCTCAAT